ATCGGTAGATAGCCAAATTGGGTGAACTAAGCAGATTGTGGCTAGTAAATGCATGTATATTTCATTATTATCATCAAAATGGCGGATAAAAGCTTGAGAAAGTAATTGTTAAAAATGAATACTCTAAAATTGAAGTTGCCGAATTGAAATATATCAGAATTTTGTTATTCTAAATGGCAGATGAAACTTTACCGAAAAGAATCACTTGAAAATAATAATTAATTTAAATTATTTAAATTTTATCAACAATATTATGTTAAAAAATGAAACAATCATTTATAAATCTCATCGTATTCAGAGTCACGAAATATGGACGTGGCAAGTTTTTAATTTGTTTTTTTTTTTTTTTATTTTAAAACTTCTTCATTTTTTTTTCAACTTTCAACAGTTCGCTATTTTAGATTTTTCATTTCGAATTTTGATATATACATATGTCATATTTTGACATATTTGGATTTAGCGAATTTGAAAAGCTTAGGATAATTATTTTTATAAGAATCAAATTATTTGTTTCAGTTTTGATCCATCATATTGAATTTTGAAATTCTGATATATTTAACGATCTTAAAAATTTTTATATCAAAACCGTATAGAAATAAAAAAACTTTTTTTTTTTTTTTCCCCTACACAGTGACATGAACATTTCATTTTCGTCACACTGCAAAGGGGTTAAATGTATATGTATATATATAAAAGTATGAAAAGATATAAAAAGTTCAAATAGAGTCATTTATAGATCTGTATTTATGATATTTGTTTATCAATGTATAGTTGAATTATTAAGATATATATATATTAATATAGATGAAATATTTAAAAAATGTTCCAAAGTGATGTTCATTATGCATTTGTAACAGGTACACAGATGATTATGGGCATCCGACTGAATGTTATCCTATGAATCCAAATGGTAGTGTAAATGGTATTGCTGCCATTTGTTCTAAAAATGGTCGACATTTGGCGATGATGCCGCATCCAGAAAGGTCTACCCAAATGTGGCAGTGGCCTTGGAAACCAACAGGATGGAATTATGATTTCTCACCATGGCAACGACTTTTCGACAATGCATATACTTGGTGCCAAGAATACAATTAGAAAATTTACTATCAAATTCAACAACGAATTTAAAAAACATTACTATAAAATATTTTATTGTTAACACTTTATTGTTAATACTTTAATAATTTGCAAACCATCGTCGATAGCGCTGCCAGTATTTTATCGTTGTCCAACAAAAAATTTCACAGAGTTACAAAAGAAAATGAAAAGAACGAGGCGAGTCAGCAAATCGAGGAGCAGAAGCAATAAATCGAAGAACAAAAGCAGCAGGCACAGAACATTAGTTTGTCGTTCCTCGACGAAGCAACACTCATCTTACCAGGTTTGGGGCTAGATCCACCGATGATCGTGAAGAAGCTTACAGTTCATCAAATTCGTAGTCTTTCATGCCTTCGCTGCTTATTTTCAAATTTGCGCAGTCTATCTTCGATAAAGTCTCTAATATTATTATTCCTAACTTACAGAAATTGAACTTGATGAAATTAAATTTGATTTTCTGTAAGAAATTGTTTACATTTGATTTTCCGTAATAAATAAATCGATCAATGTTAACGTTTTTATACACACTATAAGTATAATTCTATCTATGTAATAAACTATGTAATGTACGATGAAGATATAGTTTGTGAAATAAACAATATGAACTAAAATTTCTTTTTTTTTTTTAAATGTGTTAAAATTATTGTCAATAAGACAGGAAAACGTCTAGAGAATGTCATAAAGAATGTCTAAAAGTTATTTCATAAGATATTCAAAAGATATATAATAAGATGTTTAAAAAGTGCTTTATTAAGTTAAAAGATATTTGATAAAACATCTAAAAAAAGTTTTATATGATATTCAAAAGTTGTCTCCTAAGATGTTTAAAATTGGGATATAAGATGTCTTAGTTTTTGATGTCTTTGTTTTTAGACGTTTCTTTGTATACCTTTTTGTTCGAAAAGCTATTGGGACGTCTTTTAGTTGCCTCTAAGATGTTTTGATGTTCCCTGGGTATATTATATTATAATATAATACAATAATATAATTACACAAAATATGGATTTTTTCATCATAATAATGCAAGAGTAATCATTTATATAAACTTTGGTGTAGTTTGAGTAATGAGTTAGCTCTGTAATTAATATTAATTATTTTCTATATTTTGATTTTCGCTAGGAAAGAAAGGAGAGGATATCTGTCAAGGTTACAATGTGATGCTTTAACTAGCTTTTGATATATTCTTTTTTTTTTATCTTTTATTGTAACAACATAAATATATAAATAAATAATTAACGAAGGAATTATGTTAAATGAGTACAGTGTAAGATTCCAAATTTATGATTGATATGTTTGATGAGATGCTGTCATTGTACATGTTATTTGGGTTGCACTTCTAGTTGTTTTCATTAGTCGCGGAAGTGTGATATTTATATGGCGAGATTTTTTTAGTTGAAAAATGCTTCTATAGATTTGGATATTGTAGTTGAGATGTATTTTAATTGCGAAATTTTTTACTTAAAGTGCGTTTTTCTGGTTCTGGACTTTATATTCAAGATATGATATTTGGATTTGGAGGTTTCTTTTTTTTTTTTTTTTTGCTTGTCGGTTGTGTTTTGGGTAACCTAATTGACTCGTCCTAACCAAATTGATGGAAAGTTAGGACGACATGGTTAGGTTAG